ACAGTTTGCGGTTGTCCACATAAACATAGACGGTGGCATACTGAGGTAACCATGAGAGATTATCTATTATCCACTGGAAGAGCGTTCTATGATGGACCTGGCTGGCTGCGGGGCGTTGGATGCCGTTCCCTTCGTCCACCATGAGTGCAGGGTATGTCAGGGGTGACCGGGGCATTCGACAAGAGCCGACATCGTCCCATTTCCACCTTTGTTTGATGTCGTCCATGCCGAGCGGGGTCTCAACTTCTTTTTGCGAGAGGAACAGTTGGTCAAGCTGGTGGCTTAATTGTGTGACCTCTTGGACATTCAAGAAATCTTTAGGTGCAGCAATTTCCCACTGTTCCCTTGGGGGAGGCTCAGCCCCTTGTTGGAAATACGGAGCGTCATCTTCTGTTTCGAGGGCGTCAAAGTATTCTGTATCACTGTCCATTGACACATCTTCGACTGTGTTATCTGGGGCGGTTGGCTCTGCTGGTTCGATGTCTGTATCTGAGTCATCAGGGTCAGGCGACGTCAATGAAATGAACCTATTTGGTGTCATAATCTGTTGCAGCATGTTGACGCCAGCTTGACCCTGAACAACCGGTGCCCGGGTGTCAGGTGCCAAGTGACTAGCCGAAGATAATGAATGCTATACGGGCAGCGAGTGCAAAAGTATATCAACAGGATTGGCTAGGCTAGGGAAGCCCCGAACACCCGGCACCCGGGGTCAGGGTTCCCCCTTGCAGGGCCAATGCGTTGGAGGTGAACCAGGTAGGAAACAAAACAATCAGGGTTCGTCTTACACCTTGGTGTGCGAATTGATGTCAGATGGCTGACCTAGCTATGAAAACTAGTGGAGCCACAAAAGCTGCAGTGCGAACAATTGAGCCACTAACAGTTTATGCAACCTTCTTATCCAAAGTACATGTTAGTTCGACAGACGTTGAGGTGACCAACGGTGACGGGACCTGGGACACACACCTAGCCAAGAAGCTTAGCAGACAATCCAAACGAAATAAAAACCCATAAATCCCTTTACCCCGGTTTATGGGGGTCATACTTAAGTGGGTACTCTCCCTTACGGTAGGTTTGGGGGGTATTAGCCTGGCACGCAGCTGCTTTTCTCTTGGCGCATCTGTGGAGTAGGCGGCATTAGAAATGGCACTGATCAGGTGTCAGGTGCACACAGTGCTAGCTGTCTGCATGGTCAGTCAATGATTTCCATTTCCATATCTGCAACAGGAGAGGGTTGCGGAGTGCCTGGTGAGTGGTCATCTTGCATTCTTTTAAGGCGCTTTCTAATGCGAGTTAGGTGCTCGCGGGCATTGAGAAGTCGCGTTTCATAGGAGGCCACTCTTTCACAGGCTGTCTTCTCCATGTTCTGTAACGTTGGGATGTCCGCTGCGGCGAGGTCGACGTCCTGCATGGAGTCACTGGCGGGCTCAGGGCTGCTAGCACCAGCAGTGTCAGTTGCTTGAGTCTCTGGCGATGCTTTGGGTGTATTTGCAGGCGACGATTCTTCGGTTGATGTGTCGTCGTGGGCTGCGAGCTGTTCCGGAGGTTGTTGTTGCTCATCCTCTTTGCTGTGAGTTGCAGAGTGAGAGTCAGAGGATAACACGCCGGTACCCGGGGTATCCGTTTGCGCTTTGTTCGCAGGCAGGGCCGATGGTGGGCCTGGTCTTCTGTGAAATAATGATTGTGCACTGATTTTGTCAGGTGGCTTGCTTTGCTGCGGGGTTGGAGCTTCTGCCACCACGCCTGTACTGGGATTGGACGATGCGGCGGTTGCTGCATTGTTTGTGCTTTGTTGACTTGCGGCCAGCAAATTGGCTGGTTTTTGGGTCTGTCTGGTCGCCGCTGGTCGGCTATCTGCCAACGTTTGTTGGTTTGCTTGATGAATAATAGACTGCAATTCCATGTATTGCCGCTCTCGGTCAGCCACTTGCTGTGGCGTGCTCTGAGTACATTTAGGGTCCTGTGGAGCATCTGCTTGCATTTTTTGTACTGGCTGTTTTGCTGCGGATCGCTCCGTCCACCTGGTCGGTAGCGGCGGAGGCGGAGGCAGTGCCCGTTTCGCATGTTGTGAAGACTTAAGTTGGTCAATGCGTGGCTGAAGTTCATCTCGCAGTTCCTGCGGGTACGGCTCTCCGGTCTCAGCTAACCACTGTATGGTTTCGTCATGCAACCACAGGGTGGTTCTCCACAATGGGATGGTATTGTCATCATTGACCCAGAACAGTGGCTTAGGCGGTAGCAGTTCATGGGCTTCCACGATCAAAGGCAGCAGGAAAGCTATTCTTTTTTCTTCATGGAAGACCATTGCTCCATTCGGGTGAACTTTCAGGTGGGTATGGTTCCACACAAATGGTTGCACAACCCGCATGGTATGAGCGACCTCATTAAAGATGGATAATCGCCCATAAGAAGATCCCATTATGCTTAGAATGGAGGGGTTCCATGACGATCGAGGGGGTATGGATTGCTGACTGTTTGACTGTTTCTTGGCGGTTAGTGGGCACTTCGCAGCCAAATTAAAAACTTCTATCTGTACATTGCTGCTCAGCAGGTCATCGCAGAAGTATACGCAGAATGCGCTGTTCCGTCATGAGCATCGTTCGGTCACAACGGCCGATAAATCCACTGATCTCAAGGTGGGCGGTTCGCAATACGCCGCTAAGTACTTGCTCGTCAAACCCTATGTCATCTAGGTCATCCATGGTTTCCTCCAACTGGTACTGCAATCGCATGGCCAAAAGTTTGACACGGTGGACAAAAAGAAGCTGCTGGAGTAAGGCACGAACATGGTCAACAGTTGCGCTCCGTGCTGCCCTGTGCATGGATGGCTGTACAACACTATGAACGTCCTGCAGCAAACAGGGTAGTGGACTGGAAGCACAGAGGCGGGTAAGCTCTAGCCAAAATTCACGGACGTAATGTCAATACGCAAGGAATATGCACTTGGAGTATCTCCTACCGCACCCTGCCAATAATATTCTTTGGGGCCCTAGTAGTTATTCAGCTGTTCCCAGCATCCTGCATATTTGGGGGACCTACATTGGGCTGAGGTAGTAATGGGTAAGATGTTTAAGCCGTTCCTATATTATGATGGTATTTGGCGTCGTGCCATCACCCAGAGAGTTACTCAAGGGCAGTCAGAGACTAGATAGACACCTCTTTGGCTCAGAACTCGGGGTGATGGCGCACTAATATGGCATGAGTAATTGACAATGGCGTACGGTTGTTAAGCATAATGGGCGGTCCTCTTCAACTATATCCACTGATCACGTTGGATATATTGAGGCAAGGGGGATATCGGCTGGCATTGGAAAAATTTAACTGTAGAATAAGCCACTGGCTACCATTCCCTAATTGTAGAAGCCCATGGAGTTAGTGCATCTCTGTGTTTTGGATGTTGGGACATATTTCCACAAAGGTGCCCCTCACATAACCAGTAGACTGTTTCCTTAGTCCATGGGCCTTGGCCGAAACCAGCAATCCTCTGAGTGTGCTGCTTACTTAACGCACAAAGGGCTGCTCTAAGGGAGTGAACTTTCCATTTCACGCAGACTTTGAGTCCTGATCATTGTCAAGTAGCTGGGGTCCTGCTTAGTCCTTCAAGGTGACAAGCAGATAAACTATTCTGCAATCAATTGGTTGAGCTTCGCAACCAAAGAAACGGAAACATGCAATGGTAGATTAATGGCAAGATGCTGGCCGGAGCTATGTCACTGGTATTCAGGGAGCACCAGTCATTGCAACAGCTTTTGTCAGCTTGTCTGAGTGTTCATCAACTTCTGCAATTTTACTGAGTAATTATTTTGTAGCTCAGTATTTGCAAGAGGCCCGCAATCAAGAAAAATCCAACTGGATATGCCTGATACTTGGTAAGAACATTGAGACCATGCGGTAAAAAGCAATTTTTGAGCTGCTTACTTGGCGCACCTGGAAACAAGCTATTGCAAATCAATGCCTGATGCTCAGGTGAAACTTCGTCCAGGACACAAGCGCTAGGACTTGCTGGCCAAAAATACCGCGAGCTGCATTTCGCCATCTGGCATCTGGGGCAAGGCAAGGGCTGTTTCAGTGCGAATTAAGTACAGGACACTCTGATGGCACCGGCATCGGGCAGTGTGCCGCATATTAGAGTAGTAGGGATATCTCGCCGTTACCCAAGGTGCCCTTGGGAACAGCAGCTGTCCAACACTGCTAGTCTTCTGGGCTATCAACCTCTGGGCACGATGTGCAATTAGCGGCGAGAGCACTAACTACTGGAATGGGCGGTACTCACTGTCTGCCGACTCTATCACCCTGCACTGCTTGGTAAGGTGATAGCGAGAGGCAACTCTAATTATAGGCGTTGCTCCGCATGGCGATGTATGCCAAATGGACAACAGTTATTCCTGGGAGCAACCGTTAGGTATGAGCCAATTGCATGGAACATCCACCAATAGGGTTGGCTACCAAGGTGGAATTAGAGGTTGTGCGCTTGGGTAGTGTGCTGATGGTTACCAGGATGATTAGAGCAGGGAAGATATATCCTTCCCTGGGATATGTGAGTCAGCAATAACTACCTCACATTTGCTGACCTCTGAGCGTGGACAGGGAAGTGTCATCCATTCGTTTTGACTGTGAGGTGCTCCATTCGCCAAACTTACCAATTTGTGTGGAACATAACGCTGAAGGGTAGTGTTACACAGCTAGAAATACTGCACCTACTCAGTTGGTACAGCACCGGATAGAAAGGCTCGAACCAAATAAAACTCTAGCAACTAGAAATTAACCTAGAAACTAGTGATTATGGATTACAATGCGCAGGTACCTCGGAGGAGGACATGGCTCGGTACAGGGCTTTGCTACGGACAGACAGAAAACGAGAGTGCAGGACAGCAAGTGATTACTACTGTGCTTTTTTACCTTATATCAGTCCGGAGGAGTCTAAGCAGCTCTCTGCGGGTCACTGCAACCTTTTCCCTTACCCAAGGTACCCTTGGGAAAAGAAAGGGTCGTATGGCAGTTGCACGGGTGCTATGAACAAAGATGCTTGGTTGCACGTTCCTAGGACACTTCGTGTAGCGGGACTGTCCAACAGGCCGAGGCTGAATTACAGCATAATGATTGTCCTCCAGCTAGTCCATCCTCTCAGGGCAAGATGTTTTGCACGCTGCTGCACGACGCCTGTATTGGCTGATGAGCTGTAGTACAGAGAGAAGCCGGTTTTTTTTTTCTTTTTTTTTTTGTTTCTTTTTCCCCCCACCTTTTCCCCTGGGTGGGAAGTTGATTCCCTCTGGACACACCGAAAAACAAAAATGAGCAGGAGTGCAAAACAAAGTGGAGCTATACTGCGAGGTACACCTTAGTCAAACTGTGAGGTGAACACGATCGTGTCGAACAGTTACTGCAGCCTGACAACCTGATAGCATCTGCAGGGTGATAGTTAGGCTTAGCTGCTGCTTAGCGGGCGGCTGAAACTGGATCCTGTCTGGAGGACAAACTTAAGCACCTGGGAGTGCCATATAACTGGTGGGCACCTGCGTATGTAACACTTTGGGCTAGCGTACCTAATCATGGAAAGGGCCTTCCTAAATCCGGGGCATATGTGGTTCAGTGTTAAATGTCCTCATAGGTCTTGTGCAGGTGGGGAGAGCTACCCAGGGTACCCCTGGGAGCCCAGCCCACTTGACCTGACAAGTATTCATGAGGCATAAGAACTAATTTGACGGGGGGTTGGTACAAATCAGGTAGTGAGCTAATGAGATTTACTTGACCGTCAGGGGAGGTCTCAATCAGCAATAACTACGTTGCAGTGGCCTAGAAATACATAGGCAGTAGCAGGCCGTTGGTCTAGGGGTTGGGTCATCCTCCGCGAGATCACGTCAACTTAGTGGGTTGCAACTGTATACTTCTGGGCGATTATAATGGATTAACTTTTGAAGCTCGTTATTAGGGGTAGCATTAATCCCTGAGAGATGGGCAACCGGGAAATTACTGCTTGTGGTCGCCGAAGCAGCAACAGCGTCCGGGTGGAAGTTTAAATTTACTCACGTCGAGCGTTCACGTCGAGCGCGCAACTTGGCAAGGGCTTCCAAGGGGGTGGTGCAAATGTGTGGCGATCCTTGAGCCCTGCGCTGTTTACGTTGGGAGTTGTGGGGAGCACGACGGGAGAGGGATAGGGCATGGCTACCGGCGGTATGCTTGAGGGTGTCGACGTATGCAGTGCGCGCTGTTGCAAGGGAGGTGACTTTGAACCACGGCTGACCGAAGTAAAGCTGATGCTTGGACAGAACTTCTTCCTCGATCTGTCTTACCATTTGTTCAGGAGGCGGGGGAGCAACTAAGAAACCATCGTGTAGCCACCCTAAGGATTGTGTTGGGTGGCGGGCAATGAGGGCACGAATGGTGTCCTCGACAATTATGGCTTCAAAGTGCTCTAGCAATCTAAAAGCGCTGTCATTATGGTTGACCAGAAAATCTGGGCGGAAGCGCGGTAGCAACTGAGTAGTCAGGGTTGTACTCAAAGACCAGAGTTGACAGAGGATTGCGCTTACACTAGCAATGGGGGAGTCATCAACAATAGAGCTGAGATACCGGTATGTAGCATCAAGAGAGCTATTGATAATCCTCAGTGGGAGCTGCTTGATGGTGTCAGGGCAGATTGCTTCTACTTTTCGAATATAGGGGTCTCTGGCTAACTGCGCACGAAACTCGTCGATGGTTGGGAGGGGTACTAAGTCGGGCGCAAACAGTAATCCCAGGCGTCGGACAAGTTCATAAAAAGATCCTTTGAGGTCAACTTCACATCTTGCAAGCCTCTTTACGCAACCTGTGCTCAAAGTTCAACACGATAGACCAATCGGACTTGACTCTCTGACTGCCCTCACCGTGAAGTGAAGGAACCTGGATGTTCTAAACCTTCTCACCCAAGATGAAGTCAACGAACTTGTTGAATGGGGCAGCTGTCAAGCCAACCAGGATTTTGATTTGTACCTGGCTGCCATCACTCTGCGATACTCTTCCATGGTCGCCGGAAGCTTCGATTTCACCTTGGTCTTTGTGATCCTGATATGTCCTGATGAATCCAAGCCAGTCTGAAGCTCTGCCGTTTGTGAGTCACGCTTGCTGGTTACTTCGTCCAACGACGAAGCCTGTGGCTCATTTGTTTCTGTCTCCTCTGCCTTGACTGAAAGATACTCAGCAGAAGGGGCTTCTGCCTCTTGTAATGGCCCATAGACCAACTCCACTGCTTTCAACATTGCCTGCCTCTCGTAGACCTGCAAGGCCCGTAGCTGGCCAAGAACCTTTGCCTCTGCACGAATCTCCACCTCCTTCGAGATGTATTCCTGGGCAACCTTCCAGGCTGAAACCACTGCAGCTGTCTCTGTCCTGCTCTCTGGTCATGTTGCCATACCTCCGAGCAATGGCAACCTGTCCCTCCAAAGAGACGCCGGAATCTGACAAAACAAATTGTAAATCTGAATCCATATGCGCAGCAACATATTCCTTTTGTTGTGCTTCGTCCATGGCAACCCACGCTGACGGTCTAAACCCTGTGCCAACGCGTGCAAACTAAAACACAAGACATCGTTTCATAGAAAACACCCATAGACAAAATCTCACACAGGAGGATCAAGAAACGCATTGGAAAAACAACGTATCCAAGCGATTAAAGTGGAGAGGTTCAAAATGGATTGCATCAGAAAATAAACTTCAACCAGAAAGTGACAAAATCGAAGTTGAATGAGTTTCAATGCCAATGTCTTGACAACGACCTGAGCCCTTGGTTGTCTTCGCAACGTCTAAACGCGCAATCCGGCTGCCACCGCTGAATAACCCTGACATCAATGTATTTTGAAACTCAGTCAAATCGCCAACACACGCAAATCACAAGCACATGAAACTCAAATTAAAACTCTCCAAACAGTGTGAAATCAAATCGAGTTCAGACAGGTGAAATACTTTGGCCCCAATGCACAATCAAAACAACAGCAAACAAATCAACACGAGTGGTCTTAACAACTTCCAAAATCCATGTGAACGAGCACTCATCAGCACTGAATTTTAAGCTCTTCAGCGCCTGACGTTTAGTCTCCGGCCTGTTCCCCTTCAGGGCTATCGTCACCGTCAGTGGACGATAAGGAAGCAGTCGAACTTGACTCCTCAGAAGTGTCCTTACCCGCTTCCTGCAGCATACGCTTTTTGCATGCACGACAAATAGAATCGAACTCTTCGGAAGTAACTGTGTTACACAATCTGACTTCACAGCAATTGTCTGGTTTTACAAAGCACCCAACCAAATGCAGCCATCTGTGTCCAGCCCTCCGGGACACTGTGATGAAGAATTGTGAGACTCCTTGGATTGCAAGTGTTTCGCATTCTCTGTGACCTGTGTCTGAACTGCCATTTCAAGCTCAGCGTTCTCTGAACCGCTCCGCGCTCAAAAGGGATTATGTTCGCACCCTGCGTGTCGAAACAATAGCCATTCGGCAGGAGGAACAGCGCAGGTATCAATCGTAGCTCAGCCCAGTATTGGATTTCTCAACACTAAGTATTACTCCAATGGCTCTCCTACAGAAGATACTGAAGACTGCCTTGGCAGAATCACTGTCGGACTCACCCGGTCCAAATCGTTAACCCTGCTGGTCTCCCCGCTTGACATGATGGGACTCATGGGCATGGCACAGGTGATTGCTGCAATTGCATATGGCATCCGGGGCCTACGGAGAGGAGAAACGACATGGAGTATGCCAAAATTTGACCCTGACCGAGTCCAAGAGAATTTAGCACAGCTAAGCCGGTGGTCACTCAATTCGGCACCAACCTGGGAGTACCCTCCCCTCGCAATTGCCAATCAATACTACGATCAGCAAGCTGACGAAGTGAAGCGAGCAAGATATCGGCTGATATTGGTGCGAGGGTCCGACCTTAGATGGCTGAACAGGGAGCGCTTCCAAGAAGTTCAAGCAGGGTTACGAGCTCAACACAAGTGGCTCCCCGAGCAAAATCTCCCTTTCTCTGAAGTTGTTCTATATGCCTACGCTGCTGATCGCACACACTTTCCCACCCACGTGTGCCTACCCTCAGGACTGTATAAAGCACGCACCGGGCACATAATAGCACAGACGGGCCCAGACCAGGAGATCCTGTCTCTGCCCGGCATATACTTCTTTGATGGATGGCGATTACACCCGAAGCTGCCAATCCCAGACCACTTGCCACGCGCAAAAGAGGCGCCAGTCCAAGGTACCGCCCTCAATGCACCTGCACCAGATGCGGAACCCAAACGGTCGCCAGAAGAAGAGGCACGAGATATCCTCGCAGTAGCTGCCAAGAACCAGCCCGAAGATGGGCCAAGCACAAGAAGAGCAGCTGTTCCGGGCTATGGTCAGCCAATATGAAACTACCATCCAAGCCGTGCACAGTGCCGCCCGCACCCACACGCAAAGAAGCAAAGGCACGGTGGGACCTGCAGTTGACTATCGCCCACAAGGAGAAGCCCTCCCAGTCATCTCGGCGGACCTAACCTCCGAATTGTTGCATTGTTTATCCACGCTCCCAGACCCATGGCCCCTAGCTAAGATCACCATAGACATGGAGAAACCGAGCCAATGGGTCTCAAAGTTGTGCAGACTTTACTTTGCTGACGAGTATGCCAAGCGAACAGTTGGATTGCCTTCGCGTAGGCATGTTCCGGACATCGCGGGTGCACTACGAGCAGTTCAAGCCATCCTCCCTAAACTCGAAGTCAAAATGATTGAGTTCTTAGCTGAATGGATGGTAACTCTTCTAATGCCAGCCTCGCACGTATTGGAAGTGAGGGCACCTCACCTTTCCTTTATGATGCTAAAGGAATACTGGTTTAGAGAACTGTATCTGGGCCTGAAAGTCACAGCGTCCTTCGACCGCTCTGAATCATATACCAGAGTGATCGAGAGTGATCGATGGTCAAGTAAGATGTATCACGCCTGAAGTCAAGCCGCAGAATTTGCAGGTTTTTTTTTTTCCTCCGGTTTGGTCGATTCGCACTAGGCACGGTCCTTACACTAGCGTAAGCGGTGAAAAGTATTTAGAAAAAGGACTCGTGTGGTCCAAAAACGTGGGCAAATCATCACATCAACACAAACAAAAAACCAAACAAAAACGCAACCAAAACGACCCGCAAATCCCCCAGCCAGATTTGCGTTTCGCCAAAAAGCAAACAGCGAAGCAACAAAGAACGGGGCCGGGCCCAAACAAGAACCAAACCAAACAACTTGAGATTTGCCTTGAATACAGTGACCTAAGCCACTGTATTGTCATCAAAAACATGCAAACTAATTAAGTGCGGCAGAGCGAAAAATATAGTGCACGATCACCCAGATTCTAATCATCCATACAACCGTGACTGTCACTCCAGCTCTCTGAAAGGTAGGCAAAGCAGGAATAGCTGACAGTACAGCTCGTATCAGTTGCCATTCTCATTGTCAAAGTTGGTCCTATGATGATGAGTGAAGTTGGAGTCCAATCTCTGTAGTAAGATACTGCCGCAGTGGTGATGTGACTCAATACCCCCCTCAAGGGGGGTAGGGATTGACAGCCTGTAGGTCATGCAGGACAATAACTGTAATTCATCCCAGATGCTGTCATATCGTAGGAAGCCAAGAGGACCTGAAAAGGTGCCAATGGTGAAAGATCTCCGCAGATAAAAAAGATCCTCTCCGTAAGGTCATTGCAGATGAATAGAATACACTCGTGCAGAGGGAAGGCTTAAGCAAAGAAAGATTGCTACTCAGCGACCTGTACACAATTGCGCCGCTCGCACATGGCAATCGAGCTCAAGCCACAAACTTGAAGAGGTGGCTAGGTTTGCTGTACCAGCACCAGATTGACTAGCAGGATTCACAAGGTGTCATCGTCCCAGCAAAAACTGCTGCAAGTCAGATGTTCCAGAGGTTCGCAGTGCATCTCACATAGGGCCACTCTCCCCTAGAGTGAGCCATGAGCAGAATCACGACGTCCCATCAGCGCACCGATCCATGTTGGCAGGCTTTGCTGCACTACGCGCTCCAGACTGAACAGCAGGAAGCACCACTGGACAGCGCCAGTAGTGCTCACTGCAGTGCAGCCTGGTCCATGGCTCTACCGGGGATCTACCGCCCCTCCCGGAGAAATCGCAGAAACAAAACAGAGCGAGAAGGGCCCTCCCCAGACAGCCAATGAAAAAGCCACATGAATCAAACAGCCCAACACCGCAAAAAGACATAAAAGAGGTAAAACGGAGAGGAGGGGACGGTGACAGGAATCTGCCCCACCGCGAATGAATTCAGAGTAACTAGAGATAAGACCAATGTAGTGAAGGTGAAATGACAGAGCAATGATGTAGAGCGGTAACCTCAGTATCCAGGCAACAGGTAAACCAGATGACACAACAACCACCAAAGAGAACCCTGCCATCATGGGGGAAAGCAAATCACAAAAGGGGGGAGAGGCCAAAACAAAACACACACAACGACACCGGCCACACAGAAGGAGCGAGGAGAGGAGCCAGGAGGCAGCAGAGGACAGAGGGAGAGGGACACACCCGCACCAGAAGGGGTACAAACGTGCCTTAGCGGAGGTCAAAAAAGGGGCCAAGGATCATACTATGATGAATACCTCAGTGAGGGTGCACACAGCACTCCAACAACACAGGAAACATGGTGTAGAGGGAAAGATCCCCACACAGGGCCAAAGGCCTTTAGTGCCATGAGACACAATGAAGAGGGGAAATCAATGCACAACAATCACTCCAATCACAAAGGCAAGGCAACCAGGCCGTCGCCGGAAGCAACGATACCCAGAGGGAGGGACCAGTAAAACCTGGACCAAGGCGCCAAGGAGGAACATCCGAGGGGGAGTGAGGGTCACGTCAGGCAGGGAACAGTAACCACAAACCGAAAAGGACGAAATAAAAAGACACCAACACCTAATGTAGCGCTGCGGATGGCAAAATCTAAGGATGAGTCAGCGAATTCAAGTGCCTTGGTTGGTGGAAGGGGTGGGGGAGTGGGTGGCTAATCAAGACTACATCTGGGGACAACAACAGCATCTTCACCCATCGATGATTGTCAGGCAAAGACTGCGAGAAAGCGAGTGCGTGCACTAGGCTTCATGGCAGAGGCAACCTTAGTACAAGCTAAGCTCTCGACGGGACAGCACATTCAGAAAGCAGGTATTAACGAAGCCATGCGGCCCGATCTGTTATGCCTAAGCTGGCACTCGCACGCAAAGCCAACTGTGGCTCCCAACTGATGGAGAGATCTGGGTTGGTTGGAGCCAGGCATGTGTCGCATGATGAGCCTAACAATTATAAATGGGGAAACTGTGTCTCCTGCTGCATACCAGTGCACCTGTCACGTCTTTGGACAGACACACTGGGTATGAGCAGTACACTTAAGTAGATGTGACAATTGAACCAATTAGACACGTAAATCATCTTCCACCACCGTGATTGATGAAACAAAAGCCAACCAAAGGGTGAAAACCCAGAGTGAAACAGAAAAGAGATAAGGGGAGGGGGGAGAGGGGGTAGACACACGAAGGAAAGTGTGATACTGGGGGGTTGAGCTGGGGATCATGTCATACCTCTCGTGAAATGTTCCAGATGGTGTTTTTTGTCTGCTGTAATGGTGTCATACCATTCATTGGTGAGCCCAAATGAAACTGGGTTCACTGCTTGCTGGGCAGTAGCACGCTGATGAAGCGCTCTGAGTGACCTTCGATGTTCATCCAGATCTTCCGGAGGGACCCTCCGGCGGACTCGCCTGTCTGGGAAGTTTCGTTCCCGCAGGTTGGTTTGCAAGGCATGTTCCGCTATATAGACTGCTGGTTGCTGGAATAAAACTCGCTCCGCAAATCTGTCGAGATGGACTGTCCACTCAGCAAACATGTGGCTGTGTGCCAGTTGCTTCCTGAGTCGCGCCTCTGTTTGATGAAGGCTCCCATTCATATGCCACAATAGTAAAAGACTGTAGTTGGAAGGCCAGTCAAGTGGGCACAGTGTGGCTGTTTCTTTCCATTTTTCAGGGGTAAGCCCTTCTGGAGAGGGAATAATCACTTCAAGAGTAGTACGATTCGATCCAAGGGGTTGGAGACCTCGCATCATACATGGTTCAACGAGCCCTGTGGTGTAGCCATTGATGAGCTCCTGGAAGCTTCCAGCCATTTGAAAGTC